AGATACCACCGTGACACAAACATTTTTTAAATTTTTCTCTACATAATGTGCGACAATGCCCAAAATTTTTTTGTGCAATTTCTTTAATACTATTCATACAATAAAAGTTTTTAAACCTGCCTTTTTTGTCAATTTTAAACCAGAAATTCCCCTTAACATTAATAATTGTAAAATTTTTTCATTTGCATATTATAGAACACGCACCTCTATCACGAGCATTCTAACTCCCACGAAATCCTCTTCCACTATTACCTCGTCCACGAAATCCTCCTCTATCATTTCCACGTCCACGAAATCCCCCTCTACCATTTCCTCTTCCATTAAATCCTTTTCTACCATTTCCTCGTCCATGACCTCTATAATTATTTATATTAGGTAATCCACTTCCCACGTTGTTTTCACTCTAAAATATTCAAATACAATTAATAAATTTATTCATACAATAATACAATTTGAAGTTATTAAATATTATTATTATTTAAATATAAATACAACGAATTCTTAGAAAACATAATTTACAAAATTCGTTTTTACCTCAGAAACAGATGCTTCTCCGAGAAGTGAATCATTTGAATTACCTTCATTAACATTCTAAAATAAATAAAAATAATAAATCATAATTTATACCAATATAACAGAATATTATCATCGCAAAAACATATTAGTTCATAATAAATATTAAACTTAAACAGTCTAATAACAAGTGTAAATATCCCAAAAATGTTTTAATCTATCTAAAAATATCTTAATATAAGAATTAAAATGTATGACAATATTTTTCTTTTCATGTAATTTATTCAAATCAAAATAACAAAAAACGTTATCACCGTTATTAATATTTATTGACAATATTTTAAAATTAACCGGATGTCTCCATAATTTGTTACGATAACTAAAACGGCTGTATCTTTTTTCAATTTTCTTAAAAATTTTGCCTTATTTTTTAAAAAATAGTAAAGTATCTTTAAAAATATTATGAACAATTTGCAGAATATTTAAAACCGATTTGATTGACCTATTATTGAACGCGGGGTAAATCCAAACGCTAATTATTTCAGCTTAATTAAAATTTACAAAAATAAGTTAGACATGAGAATTTTTACCTCAGATCCTCTTCAAGAGATTCTAAGTATTATCCTATTTTGCGTTTGTTAATTAGCAACAGCATAAACAAAGATAACGATTTTTGCAAAAAAGATTGAAAATCAAAGATGACACTCTTTCAGTATTTTGTCTCGTATTTCAAGAAAAAGAAGCTAAAAATTCATTTTATTATTTATAATTGTTTGTTATGAATACTAGAACAGAAACTATTTTTGATTTTTGCCTTCTGTAAAATTTTATTAATAATATTAGACCGTTCGTATTTACCCCGGAAAATTGGAAAACCGGGATAAATCCGAACGGTGTTTTCAATAATTTTTGAACAAAATTGTTTTTATTTGATTACACTATTATTTTAACATTATAAAAGTACATAGAAAAAAATTATTCTTTCTATATACATCCTCGTTAGTAATTAATAAGCAGAAACTTAATCTCTGTTCTCCCGAAGGAGTGTTCCACTTTTTTTGCCAAAGCCATTTTGAATTTAAAAAATTTGACTTTTATTTTTGTATTTACATTCAATCACTCCAAAATACTTTCTGTACCAAGTTTTGCAAAAATCCGTTATGATTTGATAAAGTTATTGATGGTTTTATTTGAGCAATGCATTTTAATTTTTAACCTGTTTGATTTTTGTATTTATATATGATGCATTATTACATAATAGGTTTATTATCGTATTTTTTTCGAGTTTTTATATAAGTTTAACAATTGCAATACTTTAAATTTATTTTCCATAAGATTTTTCTGAAATACAGTGGCGTTCGTATTTACCCCGGTATTTTAGGAAAGTTGCAAAGTATCGAGGTAAATACGAACGCTAAGTTTCTTGCGATTATAATTTATCAAAAATTTTTGCTACCCCATAAAATTGTTCTATGGAAGTAAAGTAACAACTGCATGCACCAGAATACCGGAAGTATTGTCTTTTAAAAGAAAAAACTTTTGTTATTGTTAAAATTTATTAAAAGCGTTCAGATTTACCCCGGCTGACCCTAAATGATATTAAAAATCTATCTCTCCAAATACTCAAAAATATAACTTAACACCTTTTTAAAATTATTATAATACCCAATAAGTTCCCATAAATTGATAAAAAAATCACCATGGAGAAGTAAAGTGTTCATTTTTTGAACACAAAAAGTTCATACTTCAACTTAACAGCGGTTTTATTATTTATGTACTAAAGTACGTAAAGGTCATAATCCATTAATTTTTTCGAATAAATAAAAAATCTTACCGTAGACGTAGAAGGTATTTGGGTGGGAGGCACAAAACCCGGAACGACATTGAATCTCTAAAATAAAAATAAAAAAAATTTATTATTTTAACAACTAAAATTTACTATTATTTAAAAACACTTTTATTGATCAGAACTAAAATAAATAATCCTACCGTAGACGTAGAAGGCATTTGTATGGGAGGCACAAAACCTGGAACGACGTTGAATATCTAAAATACAAATAAGAACAAATTTATTATTTTAACAACTAAAATTTACTATTATTTATTATTATTTATTTTCCATATGAATATAAAAATTTTAATTTATATAGGTAAAAGGAAGAATTTTTAAAAATTAGATAAATATTAAATTTAGATTTCATTAAATAATAAATTTTTAATATATATATATTTTATATTTATAGGTATATATTTTATATATATATATTTAGGGTTTATGGTTAAAATGAATTATTTAGTGGTGTTTAAAATTACAAAAAATGTAAAATTAATCAATTATGTAAATTACCCTATTAAAAATTCCTAAGTAGTTTCCTACATAGGATCCTGCGTCAGATCCTAATAGGAAAGTAATAAGAACCTAATGCGGAAACTACTCAGGAAACTATATAGGAATCAGCGTAGGATCCTAGGTAGGAAACTACTTAGGAATTTGGGATAGTATCCTACGTAGGAAACTACGTTGGATCCTAATAGGAAAATACGTAGGAAACAAAAAGAATAGTGGAAATTTTTTTATATCATATATATATATATATATTTATATATATTTTTAATAATTTTGATAATTTATTAACACTTTTAATATTGTAATTGATATCTTGGAAATTTTTAAGACCAATGTTGAGAAGAGTCGTAAATTTTTCTCAAATTTAAAAGAGAAGTAATTATACAAAAGCTGTATATTTTTAAAATAGATTTATTAACGTTTTCGTTGAGTTTTTAATTAAAAAAAATTCTATTAGAATAGTTATATTTCTTTCCAACATTAATATAAGCGTTACAAAATTATAAGCACAGACGATGCTGGAACGCCAATACAATAAGAACAGCTCGTTTAGACTAAAACGAATTTACAAAAATATAATTTTTTTTAGTTTATAAGGATCCCTGATTGAAAAAATCTCTAGAAAGGGCATACCCAGGTAAATATAATTATACCCGAATTTCTAGTGAAATCCGTGTGGCAGTTTGTAACCTTCTTCTGAAATAAATCCGCATCGATTTCTACGTTCTACGTTGCTTTGACACAATTGACAAAAAAATGAAAATGACGTTTAAAAATTAGGGACGCATGAATATTCCCCAAATTAGACTTGCCGGAATTTTTGTGGTGTCAAATTAAAAATTATTAAATTTACATTTAGTAGAATTTAAAAACAGTAAATTTTACAATGAGCCCAATTTTAATATCAAAAAATTTCTATTTAAAACAATTCTAATTTTGTAGAATTTTTATTTAACTGAACTTTGATAAAGCAGATTTTCTAATATATCGAATTTTCAAATAATACAATTTCCATTTAACAAAATTTATATCTAGAAAAATTTTCATAAAAAAGAATTTTTATTTATCAGAATTGTTCTTTTGTCGAATTTATATTTATCCGAATATTTACTTAAAAGTATTTTTATTAACAGAATTTCCAATCCAAAGAATTTCTATATAACAAAATTCCTATTTAACAAAACTTTTATTAAATATAATTTCTTTTTTATTTAATTTTTATTTAATAGAATTGTCATTTAACAGAAATTCTACTTAGCTGAATTTTTAAGACAAAGAATTTTTATTTCATCGATACTTTATTTGACCGAAGTTTCACTTATCCGAATTTTCATTAGATAAAATTCTTAAAACGTCCAATTTCCATTTGATCGACCTTTCATATATCAGATCATCCACTTGGCAGAAAAATTTCAGCGGGAGTTTTAAAATCAACCAATCAAAAATTATCATGAAAATTGTGATTGGTTGATTTTAAAACTCCCGCTGAAATGTTTCTGCCAAGTGTATGATCTGATATGTGAAAGTTCGATCAAATGAAAATTCGACATTTTAAGAATTCTATCGAATGAAAATTCGAATAAATGAAACTTCTGTCAAATAAAGTATCGGGGAAATAGAAAATCTCTGTCTTAACAAATTAATTAATTAAAATTTCTGTTAAATGACAATTCTACTAAATAAAAATTAGATTGTATAGAAACTTTTTACCATATCGATGAATAAACAATATAAAATTAATAAAAATATTAAAAATTTCGTTTTAAAAGATTTAATTGCTGTTATTCATTATTAATATAATATATTTTGATTAAATTTATTGAATATTAATTATTTTCTATGATGTAAGTGATATATAATAATAATTGGAAAAAAGTTAAAGAATATTCCATGATTTATATACTTTCTTGATAGAACCCGGTTTTGCCCCACCATCGGGTACTTTGCATTTTTTTGAAAAACCTGGTTTAAATTGATCAAAAAATGTTTTTTCTTGCCATCGACCTTATTTTCTCATTCTCTAATGTTCAAGAAAGAATTTTCAACGAGATTTGATCTAATTTATTTTACAGATTCTTTGTAAACCAAGAATTACAAAAAGTTACCCGGTTTTGCCCCACTCTCCCCTACTTGAGCGTCATGACGTTCTAATTGGCATCGCTAGTAGCGGTGATAGAAGCGTCAAAAGTACATAAGTGGCTTTCCTACTTGTATTCAATTTGTAAAGTCTGTAGACATATTTAAAAAACCAAAACGTATATTTCATATTTTTTGAGATCAAGGAACCCGTACAGCACATGATTCATTCATTCGACTTTAAAATTCAATAAAACCATTTGAATGTTTAAAAAAATAATTTTTTGTTGCACATTCGTCTTCCTTGATCTCAAAAAATATGAAAAATACGTTTTGGTTATATGTGACCGTCCACGACAAAACAAGACTTAGCTCCCAAAAGTAAATTTCACAGGGCAAGCGATTGAAGTAGAAGCAGAAACAAGGAACACGCTTGACATGCCCTTCTTTAGAACGTTATAGTGTCAAAAGTAATTGACATAAACAATTTCTGACTTTTGCATGTGAAAGAACAACTTAAAATCTATCGATTAGCATCAAAAACTCAAAATTGATTTTTTGGGAGCTAAGTCTTGTTTTGTCGTGGACGGTCACATATAACTATGTCCACAGACTTTACAAAATGAATATAAGTAGGACAGCCCTTTATGAATATTTAATGCTACTGTCACGGCCACTCTTGACGCTAATTGGAACGCTATGACGCTTAAGTCGTTAATTATGGATAGCCAATGATTTAATATAATTTTAAATTCGGTAAAGCACATATATATGAATCGTTGTCAATTTCTATAAAAACGCATACAGTTTCTAATGTATTTGTCAATATCGCAAATTCTTCACTCATATTTTCTACTTTTTTTAACATATTACATTTCGAACCTAAAGCATTGGTTGTAAATAGTTTCTGAACAATTGTGTATTCTAATTTATTAAATCTGTCTACAATAAAAGATTTAATTTTTACGTAAGATTTATTTGTTATTAATGCATAAGTGTTATTAGAACGTTTATTAATTTTTGCATCTGACATGAATAAGCAATTGTTTTTAACCATTCTTATGTAAGAACATGAGTGTTCAAAAGAAAGATTCAAATTCTGAATCCATACTCTAGATACCGAAGAAGATGCACCAAAATATCTTTGTGAAGATATATTAACTGTTTTTTCAACCTTATTGTTAGCAAGTAATATACAAAATTGTCTAAGAAAGAAAGAAAAGTCTACTCGTTTTTCTAACAAATTTAAACTCGACTGTAGACTAACGTGCCGACATATTTGATGGTGAATGCCTTTTGTCGAATGAGTTGAACGTAATAATCTTCCATTTTCAGATTCAAATGGGTAGGCATTATGAGCCCATAAGGGTCCCCAATCACTTACGCTATTCGCTAAATGAAGAAGAGAATGAATATTGAAAGTCATGGCCCATTTAGAGTAAAGTTTTTCGGTTCCAGCTACAAATTTATGTAATAATTCATCTGCTAAATCTATTTCGGAAACTTTAATTTCTTCTGTCGATAAAATATAAATAGCTTCAACAAAAAATGACCAGTGATTTAAGTAATCTAATGGTAATATTTTAATGAAAACGGGTATGCTGTAAAAGAAAGTAAAATTTTCCCATTCCCGGGCTTTCCAATATTCTCGTTCTGAGAATGGACGAGATAATCTTCCAACTTGATGAGGTGACTTTATATTTTTTAAAATTGTATCAATTTCTGTTATTTTTTTACGAGAAATTAATCCCACTTTTTCTTTGTTTCCAAACAGCATTTTTGCAAATTGTTTTGCTACTCCAGAAACAAGATGCATACTATCTGGTACACAGCCGCGAATTAAATCAAATTTTTTTAAATTAAATAAAGGCGATCGCGTTTTTACACCCAAAAATGGTTTACTTGTTGCTTCTTCAGCATGTTTTATAGTGTCAGATTGATTTCTCTTTTGTGATACAGTGCTTAATAAGGGATATTTTATGCAACCTGAGCGTGATTCTTTCTTTGATTTTCTAATATATTCTCCAGGATGGAGACACTGTCCGCAACCATATTTAGCATTAAATTGAACAAACCCTTGTACAGGAGCACGTGCGACTGCATCAACGCAACAAATCAATGGGAAAATTTTAATAAAATTCTTAATACCATCAAGAACACATTCAACTCCTTTTGTCGAAAGTTCATTCATATTTTGTACAAATGGATTAAGGAAAATATTCATATCAGGTTTCCCTTTGCCGAACCAAAGCCCTGCTAAGATTAATTCTTTACTTCTAATATTAAAAGGCAATTCATTTACCATCAAATATATCGGCCAAATTGCGCAATTTGAACTCTTAAATAAAGGTGCACCGTCCGTGTTAAAGGTGACCGTAGCATATGTATGTTTATGATCTGCACTTAAAGATTTTACAAATTTACGGTAAAGTTTACCATCATAAACATCATTTATATAGCTTTCTTTGCGAAGTCTTGTTTTAACTACGTAATTGTAATAGTCAGAATTTGCTTCAATTAAATTTTTTATATGAAACGAAGGATCCATTGTCAGAAAGAAATCCTTGTATTCATAATCCTTGACATTGATTTGAATATTACAGTCTCGACAGTTTATAAACTTAGTTTTCTCAGATTCGAAAGTACCTACATATTTAGTACATTCAGGGCAAATTGCATGAAATGTCATCCATTTCTTCGGATAAAATAACTTATTTAATATATATTTAGTATTTGGCAAAATCGGATATTCGAAAAAACAATTAACGAGTCGGAACAGGTGAAAAGTGGCTGTAAATGACAATGCATGAATAAGAGCGTATTTAATTATCATAATAATAACTTCGCCAACTGTCCTATTTATTGTAACTTCTATTGGCTTATTGAAGTCACTGTCTTCCATCAAATCTTCAAGTAAAACATATTTTTTCTCTGCAGAAATGAATTCTTTTTCTAAGGTGCTTTCTTCTTCTGCATCAATAGCAAAATCGTCTTGATCAAGACAATCAAAGAAATTGTCGTGAACACGAATCTGAAGTCCGTTTAGCTCCATCACGTCAGGATTTTGACATAACCTCAAAAAACATAGCTGATTTTAAATGACAGGAGAAATTTTTTAAATAATGGCAGATTTGCTTGAATCTTGTTACTCGGGGGTTTTTGGGGTCGCTGATTACGAATTTAACGTCAGATTTAATAAATTCAAAATGGCGGATCCAATATGGCGGACGAATTTTTAAAAAGTAGTTGGATTTTTACGAAAATTGGTATCTAGGGGTTTTGGGAGTCGCTGATTACAAATTTATCGTCAGATTATTCAAATTCAAAATGGCGGATCCAATATGGCGGACGAGTTTTTAAAAAATAGTCGAATTTTTATGTAACTTGGCCGATACTGGGGTTCCGAGTCCCTGCATCGTAATACGTTTCCTACGTGTGTCTGCCATGACGGCATCAAAGCCATTATCCAGGGACTTAGCCGGATAGCGGACAAACTCCGTTGCCCACCGTCACCGCGTGGAGGTACCCTGGATGCAGACACATGTAGAAACATAAAGATATTTGACCACCGTACTATATCTGCCATTTTACATTTGAATAATCTGACGTTAAATTCGTAATCAGCGACTCCAAAAAACCCCATGATACCAATTTTTGTAAAAATCCAACTACTTTTTAAAAATTTGTCCGCCATATTGGATCCGCCATTTTGAATAATCTGACAATAAATTTGTAATCAGCGACTCCCAAAACCCCTAGATACCAATTTTCGTAAAAATCCAACTACTTTTTGAAAATTCGTCCGCCATATTGGATCCGCCATTTTGAATTTATTAAATCTGACGTTAAATTCGTAATCAGCGACCCCAAAAACCCCCGAGTAACAAGATTCAAGCAAATCTGCCATTATTTAAAAAATTTCTCCTGTCATTTAAAATCAGCTATGTTTTTTGAGGTTATGTCAAAATCCTGACGTGATGGAGCTAAACGGACTTCAGATTCGTGTTCAGCGCATCAAAATACATCAAAAAATGATGGTCTCATTTCCCGGCCCGGGTACTTTTTTTTTTTGTGTGGCTGTGTAATCTATAAAACATACATATTTTTCTAAAATTAATGAAAGATTAATTATGACCGAATCCATGTCAAATCATGCAGGCAGTCCGATGATATATTGCGAATTAATTGCAGAATGAAGTATGTTATTCTACTTGAAAAATAAAGAAATACGTGTTTTTTTTTATTTTGATTCGATTTTGTGTGTAGTTTTTACGACTTTTTAAAGATTTTTTCAAGAAAATTATTTTTTTTGCATTTTTCGCTTAAAAAAGCATAACTTTCGTAATTTTTAACCTTTTTTGTTGCTCCTGGGCTTATTTTTTTCATTTTTTTTACTCTTTTAAAAAAAATTACTCCGAATGAAAAATATTAAAAAACAAGGATAAAAATGGAATTTTTCGAAAAAACAAAAAAAAAATTTTTCTCAAAAATGCCACCTTTTTTTCGCCCCAAATTTTCAGGATTTATTGGTACACATATATATTACATACCATAAAAATTTCACTTGGTATTTTTATATTTTCATTTTTTTGATTAAAAACTCTAAAAATCATCAAATTTAAAAGGTTTCTAACTGCTCCTTGATTCATTTTTTTACTTTTCAACATTATTTTCGAAAATTGCGCAAAAAATAAAGAATTTTAATAATTTGCAAGAAAAATAACTTTGTTTTAGAAAAAAACGAAAAAAAAGATTTCAAAAAATTTTTTTTTTTCAAAATTGCTTTTTAGATTTTTTATGTATTGATCAATTCTAAAAGCAATATTTAGAAAAAAAACAATTTCAACAATCCAATCAATCGATCGAATTATTTTCGAAAACTGCGTAAAAAATAAAGAATGTAAATACTTTAAAGTCAAATTAAAGCTTCTGTTGTCAAATCGTTTTAAAAGGAAATATAAAAAGTAGTTTTATAGAACCCGAAAAAATAACAAACAAAAAATCTACGTATAAAAAAATATTTTTAAAACCTATTTGTTTCGATTTTTTTCTTTAAAAAAATTAGATATTTTTAAAAATTATTAACATTCTTTATTTTTTACGCAATTTTCGAAAATAATTCGATCGATTGATTGAATTGTTGAAATTGTTTTTTTTTAAATATTGCTTTTAGAATTGATCAATACATAAAAAATCTAAAAAGCAATTTTGAAAAAAAAAAAATTTTTGAAATCTTTTTTTTCGTTTTTTTCTAAAACAAAGTTATTTTTCTTGCAAATTATTAACATTCTTTATTTTTTGCGCAAAATTCGAAAATAATGTTGAAAAGTAAAAAAATGAATCAAGGATCAGTAAGAAACCTTTTAAATTTGATGATTTTTAGAGTTTTTAACCAAAAAATGAAAATATAAAAATACCAAATGAAATTTTTATGGTATGTAGTAAATATGTGTACCAATAAATCCTGAAAATTTGGGGCGAAAAAAAGGTGGCATTTTTGAGAAAAATTTTTTTTTGTTTTTTCGAAAAATTCCATTTTTATCCTTGTTAGGGTTTCGTGGCCCATGTCCGAAAGCCTTATAGTTTCACTTTGGCGTCCGTCTGTCCGTAGTATAAACCCCATTAGTTAACATGCCCCTATAATTGACATGTCCCAGTAGTTGACCTGTCTCAGTAATTGGCATGTCCCAATAGTTAACATGTCCCAATAGTTGACATGTCCATATAGTTGAAATGTCCCTATAGTTGACATGTCCCTATAGTTGACATGTCCCTATAGTTGACATGTCTCTATAGTTGACATGTCTCTATAGTTGACATGTCTCTATAGTTGACATGTCTTAATAGTGGACATTATCGAATGGACATTTTACCTAATGTTTTTGTTTGTGAATCAAAAAAGATAAATGATAGAAGAAAGACCTCCACTCCACAGCCACTCTTTCTTTTTTCTTGACATGTCTTAATAGTGGACATTAAATTTAAAGCGCCACGAAACCCTAGATGTAGGCGCAATTGCGCCTAGTTCTTTTCCTATTTTTTTTTAATATTTTTCATTCGGAGCAATTTTTTTTAAAGAGTAAAAAAAATGAAAAAAAATAAGCCCAGGAGTAACAAAAAAGGTTAAAAATTACGAAATTTATGCTTTTTTAAGCGAAAAATGCAAAAAAAATAATTTTCTTGAAAAAATCTTTAAAAAGTCGTAAAAACTACACACAAAATGGAATCAAAATAAAAAAAACACGTATTTCTTTATTTTTCAAGTAGAATAACATACTTCATTCTGAAATTAATTCGCAATATATCATCGGACTGCCTGCATGATTTGACATGGATTCGGTCTTATCATCATACCAATATTATATGAATGAAATATGGGGACGCATGAATAAGCTCTAAACATTTTTTTATAATTATGGTTTGACAGAATCTTATTATGTAGAATATTAATTTTGTAGAAATATTTATTTGTTCGAATATTAATGTTTTAGAAGATTCAAATTGTCGAAAATCAATTTGACAGTATTTTTATTTAGACGAAAATTAATAATTCAGTCATTTAATTTAATCGAATCTCAATTTAACCGAAACTTTGTCCAGTAGAATATTAATTATACAGGGTGTCCCAGTCATGGGTGTACATATTAAAGGTACATATTCTTCGGAAAAAAATAAGACAAAAAGTCTTCTATAGTTTTTCAAAATTTTTTATAGTTTTTGCGTAAATTGCAATTGAAAATTTAAAAATTACGCGTGGTGATTGACCGCGCGATCTCAGTGGGCCGGTGGGTGGGACATAGCGCGCCGGAACTTTCCTGATTTTCCAAGCGTGGTCATGTAGAGTTTACCCGATTACTTGAAATAATCCTCTAAAAAAAAAAGTTATGTATTTTTCAAAAGAATATTTTAACTACTCTTTTTTTTAATTTGAAAAAAATATAATGTATGTATTTTTTAGAGGATTATTTCAAGTAATTGAGTAAACTCTACATGCCCACGCTTGGAAAATCAGGAATGTTCCGGCGCGCTATGTCCCACCCACCTGCCCACTGAGATCGCGCGGCCAATCACCACGCGTAATTTTTAAATTTTCAATTGCAATTTACGCAAAAACTATAAAAAATTTTGAAAAACTATAGAAGACTTTTTGTCTTATTTTTTTTCCAAAGAATATGTACCTTCAATATGTACATCCATGACTGGGACACCCTATATAGAAAGAGGATTGGAATAAATATTAATTTTACAGAATATTCATTGGCCCGAATATTAAGGGGTAGAGAATGTTCTCCTGTTATTATTTTAACAAATTCAAACTGCAAATATATGTTTTTCAAATTGGCGGGATTCATAGCTCATCGAATCAACCGATTTACTTCGCTTAGGTCTTAAATTAAAGATAATTAAATTTATATGCGGATGAATCTCGAATATTTATGAATTTTTATTACAAAAAAAATTACAGCAAAATAAGTGACAAAATTTTTCATTCACTTTTTTCTTTTTCTCGACATTTCAAAAAAAAAAATTTTTTTGCAACTTGAGGTTCATCCGCATACTACAATCATATTTTAACAAAAAATTCTTGGGATTTTTTTAGACTATTTTTAAGAACTACAGATTTGCCGTCAATTTTAATGATCCCCTAGGTTTGACACTGATATATCTATACATATGTATGTATGTATATATAAAATAATTTTTTTTACATTTTCTTCTCCATATGTTCCTTTTTGTGTAAAAAATTTTATGTAATAAAAATATATAATATTATTGAAAAAAACACATTGGAAGAAAGCTTGGGGTAAACTAGACTCCCCCTTCATGATGGTCGAATATCAATTTGCCAGAAATAATTCGTCGGAAACATCAAATTTTACAAAACATAATTTCCTTGACAATTTCTGATTTGTCAAATTTAAAGTTTCCGTCGAATTATTTCTGACAAATTGATATTTGACCATTTTAATTCTCTAGACATTAATATTCGAGCAAATGAATATTCTGTAAAATTATTATTACTTTTAATTCTCTTTCTGCAAAATTAAGATTCTTTTACAATACCTGATACCGCATAGGATGATCCTTATAGTTTTTTTGATGCTGGACACAAATTCGTTATCAAAATTGATTCATCACCCTAGGTTTTCGAGAATTTTATTTTTTACAGCTCAAAAAAAAAATTTCTGAGTTTTTTTTTCTCATATCTTCCTTAACAATTTTCAATTTAGATCTTTTAAAAATAATTAATTTTTAAAGGAATTATCTTTGATTGAAGTTTGCGTTGCACCGTAAAACTAACTCTAAGACGCTCTAGCAAGAATTTTTGCAACTGTTTGTTTAAACTTTTGCTAACATTTTAAATTTTTTTTTCACTTTGACCCCCTTTTACGTTACAACGCGAACTTCAAACAAGCATAACTTATGTCAAAATAGATATTTTTAAATAATCGAAATTGGAAATTGTTAAGGAGGATATGAGCTCTCAAATGCATATCACGAAAACCAAAGAAAAAATTTTTGTGCCGTAATAAAAAATCGAAAAGTATTCAGCGTCAAAAAATCTGCAAGAATCACCCAATGCGGACTCAGAAATAGAAAAATGAAATTCTGTTGCAGTGTCATAGTAAACTTTCATTTATTTTAAATTAATGTTACCACAACCTGACGTGTAAGTTTACCACGACCTTACCCAATCAGCACGAAAACTTGCAGCAAGTTTGCTGCAAGTTTTCGTGCTGATTAGGTTGAGCTGATTCCTTTTTAAAAATGAAAACTTTATAAAAAATATCTTACCTCTTCATAGTTTTCTTTATTGTCTTCATCGTCAATATATTCAGCTAAATTAGCAATAACTATGTCAATTTTTTGAAGAACATCTACATTCACTTCTGTATTTTTCTCAATTATCTATATCCATATTAATAATAATTAATTATATTTTTTAAAATTTTGGGACATACTTCTGAATAAGGGAATCTCAATAAAAGTTGGTATAGTAACGTATTCTACAATGATAATTAAATTTGCACAAATTTTCACTATCATTTTCGTAATCAGCGTATCAAAATATGTTAGTGTATAAAGTTTTATCAAAATTGGAGGTTCCTCTTATTCGAAAGTACACCCAAATTTTGTCTGTAAACTCAAGAATTATGATTAGCACAAATTATTTTACAAAAATACTTAAAATATAACTTATATATCATAAAAATTATTTTTATTTGTTGTTTAAGTAGGGTCAGTTGGGGTAAATAAGGACAGGGGGTAAATGGAGACAATAGGTTTTGCAGCTTAATTTACAGTTTTAAAATTAAGTTCAACGTTAATATTTTAACCTCAGATCACATGCAAGAGGTTTTGAGTATTGCCAAGCTTTTATCTTGACAATTGTCAGCAAGATAATTCAAGTTATCGCTCAATAACTTGAAAATCAAAGTCAAACAGTTTCAGTATTTTCTATCGCATTTTAAAGAAAACAGACTTCAAAATCATAAAAAAATTTTTTCTTATTCCTTATTACACCCATAACAGAAATTCACTTAAATTTTTTATTTTTGTTAATTTGGTTAATAATAACAAGCTGTCCCCATTTACCCTGAGTTTTCAAATTTTTGGGGTAAATAGGGACAGCTTGTCATTATTAACCAAATTGACAAAAATCAAAAATTCAAGTGAATTTCTGTTATGGGAGTCATAATGAATAAGGCTTAAGGAGGAGTGACACATTTGACCCGAAAAAAATCGATTTTTTTTTGTTTGTTTAAACGATACTTTATGATGTGTAGAATAGAAATTATATCATGAGAAGTGATTTCGAAGTTATTTAAGTGAAACAAATCGAAATCTTCAGAAGGTGTCCAAGAGCGCTACAAGTGTTTGTCAAAACTTTAAACGCGTTTTTCTCGAAATGACATTTTTAAAAACGGTTGGCAGTCTAGCTCGAACAGTTTTGATCGGATTGACTTCAGCCAAATTTTTTTTATCGTCATTTACTAATGCTTTAAAGTACGTAGCGGAATTTTTTTTTATTTTTTTCTTCAAACAGCTGCCAAATCCACAAAAATTAATATTTTTAAAATATCCTACGTACTCTAAAGCTAAATTTATCACAGATTCAGAAAAAATTTGAATTTTTGTTTTATATTAAACGGCCTAACCGGAATCTTGCCCACCGATTTGCTCTCCAGAGAAATATCAACTTTGGCGCACTCTAAAAGCAACAAATTGAAACATTTTTTAAGTATAAATAATTTTTGTAAACTTAAAAAGTTAACAAATAAATTCCTCGACCTTAAAGGTGTCACTCCCCCTTAAGAAACCGCCTTTAAACTTTTTAATTTAAATTAAAAAAGAACAAAGAATAATGTACAAGAACATGCTCCAAATCTAGTGCAAGAAAATGTATATAAACCTGTTAAGGAATATGTACAAGAACTTGTACAACTTCTTGTACATAGATTTTCTGCAGGATGTAAATTGAAAATCAGAAGTCGCGATTAATAGGTTTTTTACAATTTTAATACAAATTATTTATTCAAAAAAAATAAATCTAAAATCAGCTTAGAGTTAAAAATCATAGAATACTTTGTTTCCAAATCACATAAAGGTAAACGATGTTCATGTATATGCATTTTCAAAGTGTCAATTTAATTGTAACACTGTGCAACAGAATTTCATTCTTTTTATTTTTGGGTTCGCATATTGTAATTCTGACAGGTTTTTTGACGTTGAACACGAATCCGAACACAGAATTGCTCTATCACCCTAGGTTTTTGAGAAATTTGATCATGAAAATAGAAAAAAATTCCTTCTCAAGGTATTTTTTGATTTTTTATAACGGTTTAAATTTTTTTTAAAAAGCTTTTAATGATATGTATTTGAAAGCTCATATCCTCCTGAACAATCTGCAATTTAGAACATTTAAAAATATGTATTTTTGTATGAGATATCCTTTTTTGAAGTTTGCATTTGAAATAATTAATAGGATTCTTTGAAACTTCCATCTTGGAGGTTTACAGGGTCAGTAACACAGATCTACAAGGTTTTTTTTATATCAGAGTGATTTCCAGTGTATTTATATGTGCTGAACACGATCCCGGGTTCTAAAATTGCGTGTAACGTCAGGATTTGGAAAAAAATAGGGGTAAATACCCAAAAAAACATATTTTTAAGGGTTTTCAATATTATATTCTTCTTAATCTAACAAACTAGAGACTTCTATATAGGCTTAAATTAAATCTTGAACATTACACTTTAAAACCTATATACGCAAGAAAAAATAAAATTTCAAATTTTGAAAAAAAATTGAGTAAAGAACATTTTTTTAAGGTCAAATTTCTCGAAAACCTAGGGTGATGGATGAATCACTATATGTGATCCCATAAATAAAAATGCTGTTGCACTTAAGTAAATTTTATATGAAGTTTTTGAAATGTTGGTTTTGAAAAATATATGAAGAAATTTATTTTCTGTTTTTCTAAATAACACAAATTAAAATATTATTATTATAAAATAAAATCTTCTCTTAATTCTTAAGAAGTTAATTAAAGATTACTTAAAAAATTAATTTTCAATTTTAAACAGATAAAAATTGAGTGGCCAGATCGAAGAAGGGAATGTAAAATTTTGGTAATAGTTGAGGTCTCTTGCCACTTCAAATTTTAACTTTATCCACCGAGGGTGGATAAAGGGCTCCTAAGAAGGGTTGACGGGTTTTAGTGGGTCGGGGCTGGTAGTAGTTCGCCAGCTTATTTTGTTTAGTGTTCCCTTTTTTTCCCAACCCCACATAACCTTGGCATGCGGAAGCGAAGGTATCTGTATACATATTTCCCAAAAGTCCCTAAGCAAAAAAAAAGTTCAAACGTCAAATTTCAAGTGGCAAATGATCTCCATTTATGAACGAAATAAATTTACGTATCTTTTTTCTATCTGGCCTCTTAATTAAGGTTTTTAAATGTATTTAAATGAGAATTTGCGATATTAGGTAATATGTCAATGGCCCAGATTATTTAATTTAAGGTATTAGGGTCAGTTGGGTTAAATGGGGACAAAATACCTATTTTTCACAAATTACGTAAGTTTCTTTCTTCAAAATGTAATATTTGAAGTTTTCTTTTATATTTAGTTGTTATTAACATTCCCAGGATTAATTTTATGGAGCAGAAAAAATTTATATAAGCTTTAATCGCATGAAACTAACTGTTCCCATTTTCCCAAATATTTAGAAAATTTTCTAAAATTCGGGGTAAATGGGGACATCATAGTTTCTAAGAAAGGTTTAAGAAAAAAGTTTCGTAAAGTATATTACTGTATTAAGGGATGAAAAAACTTGAAAAACATTTGTAGTAGATGTATGATAGATGAACCAATTGAATGGTATATATGATATCATAAAAGTTGAAAAATCAACCATTCAAAAAGTAGTAATGTAAAAAGTTAAATAATTTTAACAAATTTTCACGGATTTTCATTAAAGTTGGTAAAGAGAGGATTTTGGGGTCGCTTAATAAGTATTCGATGTCTGATTTTAAAAATTTTAAATAGCACTAACACAAATGTACTATGCAACACTGCAGGTTTATGCCTGCATATTTTGTTAAATTGAAGCGAGGTATAGATATAGAGACAAACACGTTTTATTATATAATTTTACACTTTGGAAATAGTCTACTCATATAAAAGTAACAAATTTATTCAGTTACATTTTTAAAAATGTATTCCAACTTTTGTCTCCCTTTACCCCAAGTATTCAAATTTTCAAGGCAAATGGGGACAGCTTGTTATTATTAACTTGAATGACAAAAATCAAAAGTTCACGTGAATTTCTGTTATGGAAGTCATAAGGAATAAGAAAATATTCTTGTATGATTTTTAAGTCTGTTTTCTTTTAAATGCGAGGCAAAATACTGAAAATATCAGGATTTCTGACGTTTTGAGAATAATTTATGATTTTATTTTTAGCAGGGCAAATTAAAATGGTAATTATAAATTGTGCCAATCATAAATTACCGTGCATACCCAGTAGGCACACTTGTTCCAAAGACGTCTTGAGGATGTCTTTTAGACTTGTGACAAAAGACGTCTTTTTAGATTTTGAAAATAAAAAATTTTTAATAAAAATAACTTTTATATTTTATTTTCTAAGTTCAACGTAAACATCGAAACTGTTTAAGATAAATTTTACAGAAATTTCTTAAGTTCGATTCATTTCATTGACAATTAAGTTCGTAAATTTTGAAAAGGATTTTATCTTTCTCCGATGGCTCAGACGCTTAAGGCGTAGAGTTTTAACCCAAGGTATTGGGGGTTCGAGCCCTGGTCCGGGTGGATTTTTTCATTCCTGATTTCTGTATAAACGTGTACAGATAAAACAAAAATCAAAATAAAGTTAAAATTTAAATAAGATAATAAATAATTAATGTGTATTAACATAAAAAATATTCCGAAAAAAAATTCTAAGTCCTAAAGACGTCTTTTAGACGTCATTTTCGAATGTCTTTTAGACGTCTTTTTTTGAATGTATTTTAGACGTCTTCTGGCCAGACATAGAACGTCTTAAAGGAGTCTTTGTATGTCTTTATGATGTCTTCGAGACATTATCATCAAAGTCTGAGGATGTCCGCGGACAAAAAAAGACGTCTTCAAGACGTGTTTTAGACGTCCCGGTGCCCACTGGGTATGTTAAAAAAAATAATTACCCCATCAGCATTGTATTCTTCCACAAATTTATTTACTTCTTCCACATTTTTTGTTTCTTGAAATGTATCTTCATAAAAAATTTGCCTATTCTCAAAATTCATTTCTTCATGTTCTTTCAAATCATTCATTTCTTGCACAGATGAAGAAGGCTTTTCGTTTGTACTCGATAATTTCTTGTATGTTTCTTGTTCTAACTCATTATCAGTATTTTTCCTTGCCTATTAAAAAAAAATAAAACGCTTGAACTCTATAATGATTCAACGTATAATAATGAATACACATATTAAAATATAATGTATATTTTCAACCATGAAAATATAAATAAGTCCCCAAAATTTATTCATAAAAGCTATAATTTCTTTTTATCCGAATAAAATGAATAAATCTCCTGTTATATTAAAATGTTTAATTTGTCATTTAATCATATTTTAATTTTTTCATTTTTTTTCTTTGCGGGTGCACAGTGCCCCACTTGAAATAGGGTTGTACAAATATCTAAAAAGTCCGTGATAATGAGTGAAAAAAGTGAAAAGAAAACATTTAAGTTACAGCGAGCAAGCGGAGTTACTAAAGAAATTAAAAAAGAGAATAATAAATGAAAGTATATGAGGTATTCCATGCCAAATCGGAGACCATTTGGCTTTTGCACCTCAGATCTTTTTGAAAATTTTTTTCCTTTTAGTACTCATGAAGACTAGCTTTCATGATTTTTTTCAAATTTTTTCATCAAGCCCTTTAGGAGATATCAATTTTTGAAAAATTACGTCACTTTTTTTTGAAATGCTTGTAATTTCGCTAAAAATTGACCAAATTAGATCAATCTTATATCAAAATTTTTGTTTTTAAACGTACTTTCCAAAAAAAATATTGAAAGTTATTTTCGAAAAAAATTTCTATTAGATTTTTGAGATTTAAGACTAAAAATTCATTTTTGAACCTGTGTGTATCGATCGATTTTTTCAAAATTTTTTTACAAAAACTGCTCTAAATTTGACGAATTTTGAGCCTAGTCCGATAATGGGAAAACGATGGGAACTATTTTTTTCGAATTTTCAAATTTTACGTTTTTAATTATTCACGTTAAAAAGTATTTAAAATTATTCTTAGAACTATTTTACTATATATATATATATATATATATATATATATATATTATATTAATAATATTATTAAAAAACGAAAAGTAATTCACAACACCTAAGTATTATCATAACTATTACTTTTAAAGTGACAAATGAGTATATTTACTTTTATATGCAAAAGTGAGAAAATTGTATTTGTTTCATTTTCAAAGTTGAAAAACTACTGGGTTTTTTAAATTTACTATTTTGAGTGGGTTTATTTAATTTTTAAAAATGTAAATTTCCACAAAAAAATATAAGACTACAATTTTGTGTACTTGTGCATTATAGAGTATTTTTGTCACTTTCAAAGAGGGTCCATTTTCTTACCTACTTGGAAACTCACACAAAGACAATACAATCTTGTACTATTACAACGTTTTGTCCTTTTCCCGCTACGAAAGTTGTAAAATTACAAGTTCGATTGTATTTATAAATTTAAAAAGTGTATTAATACCTCACTAGGAGTAGTAAAATTACATAATTTCTAAAATGTAATTTTACTATTTCAAAATGTAAATTTTTTTTATTTTTTACAGTGTACTGTTACAATAAACGGATTAAAGGAAAATAGATGAAGAGTCTAAAAAGATCCCATAAATATATTCACAACTTTATTACTTGAAAAATTATTCACGCCAAGCTTTTCAACTGCCTGCGATACAGATTTTCATTAAAAACAAATTTTATTTCAATTAATCATTGAGATAAATATGAAATTCTAATTCATATTTTCTTTTTTCTATATTACACGATATTTGAAAAGTACAATGAGAAAGATTCTCGTTTAAAAATTTATTTATTACTATTAAAAAAAATAATATCTAACCTAGTCATACATTTTACTTGGCTAATTTTCATTTCATAAATTGTTTCGAGCGTTGAAATAATTTTTACTTGGTGTAACTTTTTGCATCGAAGATGTTTTTGTTGAAATTTCAAAAATTTTTGTTTAACTTTATGCTTGATTGGAGAATCGACTAAGTATTATATATCATATCGTCTAATAATTTAATAATAATAATTAATAAAAATAACAATAGTGCCAAATTACCCTGGCGGACGGTAAATAAAAATATCCACCCTAGACAGGATTTGAACTCGCGACCCTAGTAGTAGAGCTATGTCGGTTGTAGCTCAGTCCTCTTCGATTCTTACCTTACCGACCGATGGTAACTCTACTTTACCATAGATCGGTGTTACCGACCGTTGTCGCGAGATGGCGCTGTTGCTCGCGGGAATTTTTGAATTTTTGAACCCTCTTGGCCACCCCCTTACCACCCAATCATTTGCATAACATTTGCATATGCTTTGAATTTTTTAACCCTCTTGGCCACCCCCTCACCACCCACTCATTTGCATATCATTTGCCTTTTTAGAGAATCCCTTCCACTTTCCACCCTCTTGACCACCCCCCCTTACCTCCCACTCATTTGCATATAATTTGCATATGCCTTTTGAGATTCCCTCCCACTTTCCACCCTCTTGACCCCCCCCTTACCACCCACTCATTTGCATATAATTTGCATATGCCTTATCAGATTCCCTCCCACATTCCACCCACTAATTTACATGCCGATTTTATATTTTATGGTAAGTAACTATTTTACCATATAGTAATCTTATTTTTCAAAAGAGGGCGCCCCTTTTTAAAACTTCTTTTTTTTCATGGTAAGTCTCTATTTATCATATATTTATCATTTTTCAAAAGAGGGAACCACTTTACATTGACCGGGAAAAATTTAAATGTTTCGATTACTTATATATTTAAATATTTAAATTTTTTCAACGTTTTTTTTATATTAGAGAATTTTTCATTATTATATATATTTTTTGGAAATTATTTTTTAACGGTAAGTAATTCAAGTTTTCTCATGAATTTGAAGATTCATCTAAACGTTGTCAACAAGCTGTTTTGAGTTTACCTGTATCCCTATCATTAAAAACATAAAAAGTGTCATAAAAGAGAACACGGTGCTCTAGGAGCGAAAATAGGTTTCACAAAAATGCGGATAAAAACGGATTGTGTAGCATGTTTTGTACATATTTATAGGTTAAAAATCTATTTGAAATGAAATTCTACCTGTTCCCGTTTTGGAGAAATACATTGAAAACGTTTTTCTATTTGATAAAGAATAAAATTGTTTTCATTTCATAAAGTAGGAAACAGGATAAATTTTTTTGTAATTAGATGGTTGCCACCCAGGAATAAAAGCTTATTAAATGCCCCCTTTAGTGAATCAGATATTTTAAGAATGTGGATTCATTAATGTTTTTAATCGGAATGTAACATTTTGATAATTTTGAATCGGATCGAAAAATTTCAGGTTTTTGTTGTCATATTCCGAAAAAAATTTAATAATTTTTAATAAACGAGCTTTGTAAATAAATTATACACTGGAGAGTAAGATTTGCTTAATGCTTTTTAAATTGAAAAGATACATATCACTGTCTCTCAACTAACAGGTAATGATGAAGACAAGTTTGAAAAATGTAAATGATTTGAATCGGAGTCAATATGAGATTTCCTTTTAAAAATGCGGATTCAACTCAGCCTCCGACCGATTCAAACATATTGAATAGGTTTTTCTTTCCTGGGCATGTCAATCTCACTGATAAATATTGTGTTGACAGTTTGTTTGGTTAAATGCGAATTGTATTTCTACAGAATAATTGTATTAATAATTGTTTAATATTACAAAGTATATATTTTTTGCAGACTTAAAACGAAGGTTTGAAACCTATAAGTTTAAGAAGAAAGAAGAAGAAAAACATAAAAAGATTATATATAAAAATTAAAAAAATATTATGTAAGAATATAAATATATATGTAAATGTAATTTTCCTACAATTTGTCTTTCTTTCTAATAAGAATTTTATTCCTTATCAAAAAACACAGTAAACTAAAAGGTATTAAAAACGTTGCAGATTAAAATAATACCAAAATTTATATATAAATATTTCAATTATTTTTCATCCTAACTTAAATTTTAATCTTTCGATGGATTATTATTATCCACGGCGGGTAAAAGAGTTGTATCTTATTTCAATCCATTTTAGGATTAAAATAATACCCTTCAATATTCTGTGAAAAAAACGTTTTTAATGGATTTCTCCAAAACGGGAACAGGTAGGACTTTATTTCAAATGGATTTTTAACCTATAAATATGTACAAAACACGCTACACAAACCGTTTTTATTCGCATTTTTGTGAAACCTATCTTCGCTTCTAGAACACCGTGAGAAAATTCCGTCTAACATTTGAAAAACTGTCATTATGAAAACTCCTCTCATACTAAAAACATCTTTTTTGTAAGAAAGTTCAGTGAAAAACAAAATTCTTTCCATTTTTTAAAAATTAATAAGTTAAAAAAATATTTTAATTTTCATTGAAAAAAAACTAATTATATTGAATTAAAGTCTTTGAGTTTATTCATTATCATTAAAGTGTAGTGAAAAAAAGTGATTTGTTTAAAGAAAATTTGAATTTGAAGAAAAAAAATGGTATGTATAATTTTTATATATTTTATAATTTTTTTAATAGAAATCTTTCATATTCTTATAAATTCATTTCTTAACAAATTTTGATATTTTTATGTACAGAATTCTGAAACAAAAACTATAATTGATTTTTAAATGAGTTTTAAATGAAACTTTGAAAATAGTTTAATAATTTACTAAGATTGTGAGTCAACCTTTTTATAATCGTTTGTTTTTCTCATATGTTTCTTATAATTTTTTAAAGTAATTGAAATATTTTAGAGTTACAATTGAAATTTTTAAAATGGTTTAATTTTGTAATATTATACATCAGAAACTTTACAATTTAATTTTCTATTATTTCAATTAAAATTTTTGAAAATAATTGAATTTATAATGAATGTTAATTAAAAATTTTTAAGCCTTATACGTTAGGAAACGGAAAATAATTTTTTTTCCCAAATATTTTAATTAAACTCTTTGAAATTAATTGAATTTTTTTAGAGATGCAATTGCAGGTTTTTGAAAATAATTAAAATCTTATTACAATTTTCAAGATAATTCTATTTTTGAAGATTGTAAGTCAAAATAATTATATAAATTATATAATATATATACAATTCAAGTACAATTCAAGTACCTAATTTAAAATTTCTTAAAAATTATTAAATTTTTCTAGAATCATAATTGAAATTTTAAAAATGATTTTTGTGTTAAAAAAATGTCCAAAACTGTATGTGTCGTCCTATTTTAGCCTGATTGTTATTATGAAAATGGTAAATTTTGGAAAAAATAATTGTAGGGGGTTCAGAAATTGTGACATAATTTATAAAGAGAGGGTTTCTTTTAATGTTATTTAATGTGACAAGTAAGAGGGAGGTTAAAAATAAGCTAAAAATGTGTGACATTATTTATGGACGAAGCCTCTGGGAAGATTCATAAATATTAATTTTTATAAAAATATTTTATTTCATATTTAATTAATTAATTTTATTAGTTGAATTAATAAATAATTCTTCATGTAAAAATATAAAAAATTATTAGATTTTTTTCTATTACCTTTTCAGTGTAGTTATTTGAAATAAAAATTTAGTTATCCAAACTTTTCACATAGTTATAAATAACAAAACTTACAGAAAAATCTAACATTTTTAAAATAAAATCCCGAGTTTAGGGAAAATTTTTTGATTGATTCTCAGTTTTCTTACAATCTTTAATTAAAGGTTAGTAGGCACCAGGAATATTATAAAATGTAATAAGTAGTATAGTATAAAATTTTTCTATTACAATATGAACATATTTTAAATATTGTGTAGTCTAACCTGCTCGAATTCGAATGGTTTCTCTTGCTAGTGTTTCCACTTTCATTGGAATAAACTTAGGTTTTCGTTTAATACTTTCCAACTCCGTTTTGGAATCAGTAGAAAGTACTGCCCTGCATCTTAAGTGTCTACTTTGTTTCATCGCATCTTCATTCTTCTCGTCATCTGTTACAACCACAGATAAATTCGAAGCATACTGCTGCTTTTTGAGTGCCTCTTCAAAAGTGCCTAAAAAAATATACTGAATAATTTAAATCTTACTGTTTATTACAACTTTCTTGAAAAAATAATTTTCAACAGTCGTATACTTTTCCTGAAAAATATTTTTATTTCAAACAAATTTTATTAAACAAATTTTTTTTCTGAAAGCTACTGATTTATTTTATAAATTTTTATTTTCTAATATAAATCATTTTTAAAAGCTTCTTTACAAAAAATTTATTTTTGCATACTTTTATATTTTAAGAAAGCTAATTAATTATTTATTTTCTTAATTTCTATTTTCTATAATAGAGTTCAATTTTAAAAGTTTCTTTAAAAAAAAATTATTTTTCATATCATTTATAATTGTAAATTAAGATTTTCTCGCTAAATTTTATTTTTGTCAATTTACTTAAATTTTTCTACTATTTAAAAAAATTGCCCTTGAAATCACACAAAGCAGATTTCAGGGATCACAGTTACAGTAACCGAAAAGTATAAGAAAAAGGGAATTTTTGTGTTGAAAAGACAGAATTTTATAAATCAAAGAAAAAGTTAATATACATATATCAAGATTCGCGGTAGAGAATCGACGACAAATAATTTTTTAAACCCGCGGATCTAGTGTCTCAAAATATCGGCATCTTTCGACCAAAATTAAATAACTCGAAATGTTCTTTATTAAGGTTATGTCCAAGTTGTGAAATGTAAACAATGAGAAATTTAAACAAAAACTGTACCTATTTTTTCGACGTTCTCATTTGAGCACAAATGAAAAACCTGACATTTTCTTTGTAAAAATGGTTAATACAGGTATAAAACTTGGTAACTATATATTATTTAAGAAATGATAATAAAAAATACATTAGAAAATTGTAAAAGAATATGTGCACTGAAGCAACAATTTTGACGTGTCATGAAGAATTCAAGTGTCTGACTATATCAGACGCACGGACCGGGAGGACACTTGAATACTTCGCGACACGTCAAAATTGTTGCTTCAGTGCACATATTCTTCTGCAATTTTCTAATTTATTTTTTATTATCACTTCTTAAATAATGTATAGTTACCAAGTTTTATAACTGTATTAACCATTTCAACGGCAAATCAAGGTAAGAACATATTGCAAAGTAGTATATTGTTTTGTTCAGTACGTCTGTTTAGTTAATATTTTTAAACGTTTTAACTTCAAAATAAATTTTTTCTACTTAACGTCTCAAAATTCATTGATTTGTACTTTTTTGGATGAATTACAAAAGGAAACTTAATTTCATTATTTTCAACTGTCTTAAGTCCAATTTTCAAGACTGGATCTTATAATATGTATATATATATTAGAGAAATTATTTGGTTAAATTTTTTAAATAACTCTGAACTATATATATATATATATATATGTATTTTCTTATTTATAATAACTCTTCTGATGCTAAGATTTAGTGCTGTCAGAGGTAATAATTTAAAAATAAGTAATATTTTTACACCTTTTTAAAAAAAATCAGTTTATAATATGAGTTTGCAATGCCAAAATTTGGCTACTTTATTTGCACCGACAGATTTAAGTGGATTGTCCCATTATAAGTATTATATAATATTTTTAATAAAATATTGTACCTTTAAAAGTTTTAATTTACTGTTTTTAAAAATTGTTTTCAGAAAAACATATTGTAATTAGAAATTTATAAATTAATGTTAGAAATATTTTTTTTTAAATGAAATAGAAAATATTTTTAAGAATATGTGACTCTTTCCCTTCATATAGGGAAATTAATACTTACTGGCAAAACGAAAAAACCTTTTTACTGGCCAGGGTTTTCCATCATTGGTCCACGATGGACTCGGTAATGAGTTTTCTTTTAAAATTTGATCAAGCTCTTGCACACTTTTTGCAACGGGAAAATATGCTCCCGTTAAAACATTCTCGTCGTTAAAAAATCCCCAATCTGTACGTATTATCTCTATAGATTCCTCTTTGTCATCAAATTGAATAACGGCAAATGTTCGAGAATTTCCATCTAAAATTTTTAATTTAATAATTTTTAAATTTTATTCAATTCAATTATGATTCAATTTTTATTTTTAATTAAGACAATTTTTTTGTTTTTTTTTATTGAAAAAAATGGTTGTCAGGGTCTAGAGGAATATAATTTATTTTACTCTTTGAAAAAAAAATTAACAAAAAATTTGTTTGGTGACGAGAAACTCACGATTATATGATACAGTAGCAAAGATAATCTTTGACAGTATTACCAATTTATGGAATAATGAAATTATTATATATTTATTCTATATTCTAGAAAATTATGAAATAATTCTATATAATTAATTTTGAAATTTATTTTTATTTTAAAAAAGCAACAAGTCATCTGTGTTTGATGTTTTTCTAGCCATAGACATAATGTCTTTGCCATGAGTAGCACATGGCTTCCAGTGTTTCTTGTATTTAAAAACGTTTATTATGTATAAAATTTAGATTAAAAAGAAAATCTTACCTGTTTCAAGATCCATTTTTTCTCCAAAAAAAAGAAGTTTGATCTTAAAAACAGAAAAGGATTGCACTAATGATATTGGATATTATAATTCAATAATACTTATTCTCCACCATTGCCAGCAGATTGATACCGAATGTTATCATTATGCGCACCTTTGTAGCGCAGCTAATACAGTATTGTTACGTCATTTCCTGCATTTATAGTGATTCTAATTTATAATAACAATACGATAAATTTAATTTATTTTTTAAAAAATGGTTCTTTGAAAATAGAAAGTAAATCTGTAATTAAAGTAACATGTTTTTCTTAAATAAAATATTTAGGTTCCTAAATGTACTTGCATTTACTTCCTTTGTAATTGGACCAGTTTTAAGAATTGTCCAATCAACTTGCGAGATAAATCAGAATCACTGGAAATGACGCTTTATACAAAATTATTTCCCCCGAACCCGGAATTGCTTTCTGTTTCCACTTTTCCTTCATGGCAATTCATGGCCATATGTCTGGACCTGTGATATCAAAGAGACTAAAAACGATATATTTGAATAAGTTTATTTTACTAATTATTTGTTTATCCAAAAGAAAATTTACAGGAAATAAGGAAAAAAAATGTGTTTTATGTGAGAATATTATGCAATACAGTGCAGTCAAGATCAGTTCAAAATATAAAAGGTAAATGGTGATGTAAGACATAACCTCAATTTTTTCAAGTTACTCGAGGCATTTTCCAAAATTAAGGTTTGAATATTACAATCTATTTGAGTGAGAATAAATATTTTTATTATATTATTTCATACAATTAATCATGCACTATTATATAACTAAATCATTATTGCAAGTTGTTCAGAAAGTCAAATAATATTTCGCTGGAAATTTTTGGAAAATATCAAAACTTCTGAAATATTTTCTTTGCAGGTAAACGTAAATAAATAAATAAATTCTAGGTGCACGAAAATGGTGCATATTTATTATAGGTTAATTCATGTGCTTATTATTTCTGAAAAAAAAATTTTCAGAATAAAGTTAACAATAGATTTTCTTGCAAATTCAATAGTTTGCTATTAATATTCATATAGTTCATAATATTTCAAACGTGTAAAACTTTTTATACAATGTAGAATGCTAGAGTAAAGTAGTAATGAAATTCGCCAATGAATACACGTTATACACAATGCACGCATTAAACTTGCAATAACTGAGAATGTAATAAAACCTTAAGTGATTTTAAAATTAAAAATTTTCATTTAATCGACATAGGCGAAAATTTTAGTTAAATATTAAATCGAGACATTTCAATTTTTTCAAAATTTTTAATAAATTTTTGCAATTAAATATTCCGAAATTGCAAGAAAATATTTAATAAATTTTCAGGAAATTTCCGGTGCTGTGGGGTGGTCATGTATTTCACTAAATTATTCTTTTCTGTAAAAATAATTTTTATGTATTTTGTCTTTATTAAATCCGAGCTTTAATCTATATAATTTTAAACAATAAAAATTCAATTAGTCCAACTTTCAATAAATAAAATATTTAATTATTTTAAGTTTTAATAAATTAAATACTCAATTACTTCATTTGTTAATTAATTCTGATTGTGCCAAATATTTTTCAATTATAATTTTAATTATTTCCAAATTAAATTTCTCTATACTTTAAATAACCTAGATTTTAGTTCATTCATTCCAAATTCAATGGATTCAAAGTATAGTCTCTCAAAATTTTATCGATTATAATTTCAAACATTCCAACTAAAAAATCAATTTTAGTTTAAACCTCTATTAATGAAAATTGTCAATTAATGTTTGCTTAAGTTCATGTAAATTTCAATTATTATTAATTTCTATTTATTATAATAACTTGTAACTTTTTGTTTCACTTTCAATCATTCATTTTTTAAGTTAATCAGACTTCAATTTAGAATTCAAATATTGATATCTCTTTATAGAATATATGTACTAGTTATAATTTTAATTTGCCTCTTTTAGTTAATTCTAAAAGATAATAACCTACATTTTAACCTATCAAAGATGCCAAAATTTTTGTATTATTACTACGTGATATGAAACCTAAAACCATAATCTAGGAATATTATACTCATATGGAGTAAATCAAACAATTATAAATATAAATATTCTCATTAATAAATAATAGAATATATAAAACACCTGTTATCTAGTCGAACAGAAACGTTAATTTAATTTCTTTGATTCAAGATTTCCCAGTAGAATTTTACACAAATGTAAAGAATTTGTTTTAAACTTTTACCTAATTTATGATTTTTATTCTTCACCTAATTATCTGCTTTTATATTTTTGTTGAAGAAGTTCTCATTTGGTATATAACTTAAAAATTATAATAAGATAAAGAAATAAAAATAAAATATATAAGAATATGGGTGATTCTCTCAGAAAGAACAAATCACGCTTTCATGGTATTTTTGTTTAAATATAATACAATTGATTATATTTTTAAAAATTTTACTAACCATTCGATAGGATTTAACAATTTTCAATTGGATCACTAAAAAAAAATTCAAAAAAATTTCAAATAACCGAAATATTAAATAAAATAAGGTGTTACGAAGTGGATTTACGGAGTGGAGTTTTAGTGCCAGACTTCATTTAATATTTCAGTTATTAGACCTTTTTTATATTTCCCTTTAGTGATCAGATTGAAAATTGTTAAAACTTATCGCATGGCTGGTAGAACACCGCCTGACATCGTGCACATGTAATTTGTTCTTTTTGAGAGAATCACCCATATAAAAAAGAAAATATAAAAATAATAAAAATAAGAAATAATTAATTTTATGATCGTTAATACTATTTTTCCAAACGCTATCATTTATTTTAAATATTGCAATATACTCTACAGCAATAATTTTTTTGTTTTAAAGAAACTAAAGACTTCTTAAAAATGCCTTGTAGAGCATGCACTAATTTTGACCCCAAATCACTGCACATGGAATATATTTGGCCCAAATTTAATTTTGTAGAAAGAACTGTGTACAATTTTTATGTATAATCTTTGTTATTTCTTACAATTTTGTATGTTTTTGATAATTATTTTATTCCCATGCTAAAGTGCCAATATTATATTGTAGATCACATTACGAGACTTCAAAATGAAGCGATCTAAGTCGTCCCTAATATCGACAAGACATTTACGTCGCATTGTAAATGCCGAAGTAGAACAAGATAAACAAAATATACGAAATTTGCAAAGGGAGCAGGCATCTTCCAACTTGACAAACACAGATTTACTATCAACACTGGAGGAAAGAATGGATGAGGATGAATATAGCACTGATATAGTACCAGATCTAGAAACTTTTAATTTTGACAATATCGTCAGGTTTCCAGAAGTAGACGACGTTAATTCTTCACCGAAAGTAGACATTTCCAAAGAAAAAGTAGAGAGTAGATATCAACTTTCTAATGACTTAAAACGCGAAAATTCGAAAAATTTAAACGACGAGATTTATATTGATGCGGATGATTTACATTGATTTTTGTTTGACCGATTTTGAAGATATATCGTCAGATGAAGACAATGAAAGTTGTGTAAATGAGTTTACAGATACATTTGATAAAGAAGACTTTAAAGAACAATGCAGCGACAAAACAAATTCCTTTAAGACTGCTTTACGTGACTGGGCAATCAAATTCAAAATAACTCTTGATGCATTAGCAGCACTACTTCTAATTTTGAATTTATTTACCGATCACAAGTTACCAGTGGATCCTCGTACTCTGATGGGAACTCAAAGGTTTACAAAAACTGAGGAAATGAGCGGTGGCGATTACATTCATTTCGGATTAGAAAGAGCCATTAAGGCAATGCTACGAGAAAATAAGGTAAAAGGAAAAAATGAGACACATTTGAAACTGAATATTAATGTTGATGGTTTGCCCATTTACAAATCATCCGCCTCAGGATTCTGGCTCATTTTGTGCTCACAAGCAGATTCTCAGAAAGTTTATCCAATCGGAGCATTTTTTGGTCGTAATAAACCAAAAGACGCCAACGAATTTCTTAGAAAATTTGTAAATGAATGTATTACAATATGTGATTGTGGAGTAAATGAAGGCAAGATTAAAATATCAATAGAATGTTTGTCTTGTGATACGCCAGCAAAAGCCTTCGTTTTGTACCTCAAAGGGCACACTGGATACGATAGTTGCCCAAAGTGTGATATAACCGGAGAATACGTAAGCTTAAAATCAAGAAAAAATGCTCAACCCAGAGGAGTGGTTTGTTTCCCAGGTACTGGACCATTCAAGTTAAAAAGAGACGAAGACCTTAAAAATGACTCTGAATCAATTTTGAAAGATCTCCCGGGATTTGGATTAATATCTTCAGTGCCTTTAGACTACATGCACCTAGTGTTGCTAGGTGTCATGAAAAGATTGATAACACTTTGGCTTACCGGACCTTTTAAAGTAAGATTATCAACTGACGATTTAAATAAGATTACACAAAAATTATTAAATTTACGACACAGTACTCCAAAGGAATTTTCAAGAAGACCACGAACGATTTTTGACTACTTGCATTGGAAGGCAACGGAGTTTAGGACATTCTTACTGTATACGGGACCCATCGTTTTAAAGAACATTTTAAAACCAGAAGTCTATTCGCATTTTCTCCTCTTGCATTGTGCAATCACTATTCTAGTGAATGACTCATATGTAAAAGATCCGTCAAACGTGGACTACGCAGAGGAACTTTTAAACGAATTTGTCAAAAATTTCCCAAGTGTTTATGGCAAACAATTTATGTCTCAAAATATCCACAATTTAGTACATCTTTGTGCAGATGTTCGAAAATTTGGCTCATTAGACAATTTCAGCGCTTTTCGTTTCGAAAATTACATGATGACTATCAAGAGAATGATTCGCAAAGGGGAAAAACCCCTCCAACAAATGGCGCTAAGATATTCTGAACAAGAAAAGGCAGAAATTGAAAGTACAGAAATGTTTAACAGGTCGCCTTTAAATGCAAAAATTAATTTAA